CCGCCGTTCCCTCCTCCAGTTTTTCAGCGGCGGGGGCGGCTTCGGCGGCAGCCGCGGCACCGCGTCGCTGCTCGGCACGCTCAACGCGCAGTCGGCGGTCAACGCGGCGTCGGGCAGCGGGGACCCGTGGACGACGTACGGCGCAACGCAGAGCGCGTCGCGGTCTGCTATTGCCGGGGCATACGGCAACCTAGGTGCGTGGCCGGACCTCTGCCGTTTACGAGGTGCTCTTCCTGGATGCGCTGCCGCACAAGAGCGCCCGCGTCTCTGGCTGCGGTCTCAGGGCGGGAATCATTAGGGGGCAGTCACCCGCAGAACGGCCGGCGGCGCGGGCGCAGCAAAAGCGTGACCGGCGCCGCCCGGAAGCAGCCGGCTGGCCAGCCCCTGCAGCTGCTCCCCCGACCCCTGGGCATCCCTCTCGCGCTCTCCCTCTCTGACCTGCACGCACATCTGCCGCTGCTCGCCCGCCAGGCTACGTTTCAAACCAGGCGACGTTTGACCGAAGTGTCTTCCAGCCCTACATCTACTCGCCCTTCTCCTGGGTCGGCAGACGCAGGTAGACGCCGGCGCGCCGGCACATGCGCACCCCATGTGCGCCGTGCCGCAGCGCTCCTGCGGCAGCCGCCTGCGCGTGCGAGCGGGGCTTAGGGGACGACAAGTATGTCCTTACGGTCGGTGCAGCCGGCGCAGCAGTCGCCGCGAGGCGACAAAAACGAGAAAGGTTTTTCGTGGGCCAACGCGCGCCCTGTTCCGTTCTGAGCCTGCAGCACACAAGAAAGCAAGATATCGGGTCTGAGCTCGTTGGCGGTCCTTTGATTTCGTCTTTGATACTCCGTCGAGGCAGCCCTCGGCGGTCGTGCGCCTGTCACGCCGCTGCTGACAGCCAGCGCGCCCCTCGCCCATTGATTACTGCCTTGGACCAGCATTCAGCACGCGCTAGCCTGTCGCAACACGCACCCTGCGCTGCCCTCACATCCGCACGGCTGCGCTTTGATGATGATCCACTGCCGTTGAGAGCTTCGCGCGCCTTCGTTTCCGAGATTGCTGCAAGCGCTGCGCGTGCGATCAGCACGCGAAGGCATGGGCCATGGCGCGAGCCTCTCGTCTGACCGGTTGTATCTGCCCGTCCACGGAATTTCTCATGATTGGTCTCAATGATGCTGCGCGCCTCGCGAGTAGGCGCGAGTGCGTCTGGATTTCGTGGGTGCAAAGCTGATAGCGGCTTTGTTGGCCACGCGTGCGGTGACCGCCGCGAGGCGGCTGCTGCCGCGGACGCGACAAAAAACGTAGCGGTGCCCCAACCTCGCACGCACGCAACGAATGAATGTGAACACATGTAGGCTTTCAGAAAGCTGCCTGACCCTCAAGCGTTTGGGGCATGGGGATGGAAGTGTCACGCGCGTTTAGGAACCCTCTTTTTGGGGCAAGCGCAGTTTGTTGTGTTGCACAGCACCCCACGCCTGCCTGTTTATAACCATCCAGTTTGATCCCGCTTGCGATCTGGCAGGCCCACAAGCGGTCAACGGCCAGCGCCACTGCACACGTTTCGCATCTCGCCTGTTGGTCGTCCCATCCGCCAGCCGCACACCTTGTCCAGGGGCCATGGATTGCACCTGTTCCTGCAGCTTCCATGTGTACATGTTGCCTGTATGTGCCGACCCTCAGCGCGCGCGGCCGATGGTGAAAGCATCACGCCGCAGCTTGACAGGTGTGGCTTGCGAGGGGGTGTTATGTAACCACTCTTTCCATTGGACGGTCGGTGCATGGTCAGCCGCCGCAGGCAGTGGGCACGAGGGATCTTCGGCGCCGACAGGGCATTCTGCTCGCCCCCACTGCTTTGCGAGCTGCTGCTTTGTGGCACATATGCCTGTGAACCGAGTTGTGGAGTGGCAAGCAGGCTCCCGGGAGCCAGGGCGAGCCGTAAACTTCGACCCGCCTTCATCACCCTCGCAAGGTGACGCACGGCCCCTTGCGTCACCACCGGCGCCCTTCCTGCAAGCCACCAACAGTGTTCGTAATGACAGCAGACAGCACTAGCATACAGACGTTCGTGAAGGTAGGTCCACTTGTCAGCCGGCTAGCTGCGAGCAGCTGGTCGTTCCTCTTTTATCACTCGATCGCCGTTACCCGGCAGCTGCGTCGGAACGGGAACAGTGACCGTCTGCCGTAGTTATGTCCCTGTACAACTACGGTGCCACAACTTTGACATTTGATCACGGTGTAACCCGCATCCTTGAACCATACCAGCACATTCGAACCAGCACCACAGTCTCAACACCATGCGCTCCGGTATCGCTCTCCTATTGGCTCTGGGTCTTGCTGGCGTTGCGCTTTGCGGTGAGCACGTGTCCTTTAACGACAGCGCAGCTGTGCCACGGCGCTGCCCTGCATGCTCGTGCGGAAGCACGTGTGGGACGCTGACAGCTTGCATGCTCATGCAGCAGCGCAGCAGGGGGTTTGCCGCTTGTGCGCTCGCCTCACAGCAGTCCACCTCCCAATCAACCTCCTTACGCCCGCGCAGGCGCCACCCGGCCCGCCCCAGACGGCCTCTCCCTGCGCCGCCGCTCCCTGCTCCAAGTCTCCGTCGGCGGCGGCTTCAGCATCGGCGGCGGCGGCGGCGTCAGGCGCGGCTTTGGTGGGCGCGGCGCCTCCTGCGTATACCCGCAGTGCATAACCCCAAGCCGCGCCCAGACCGCGCAGATTCTTGCGGGCCTCAACTCGCAGTCCGTCGTCCAGCTGGCCGCCGGCTCGGACAACCCGGCCGCCGCGTTCGGGGCGACCCAGTCCTCTCAGCGCTCCGCCGTCGCAGCCGCGAACGGCGACATCGCTTACCTCAGCAACCAGCACATCTTCGACAACACACCTGGGTACTTCTATGGGGGCAAGAGGCGCTGATTCGACCACTGTGCTGCACTCGCGACACCCCCGCCTCACGGCGGCCTGCTCCAGCCGGCACATCATCGGGGCACCTCGGCGCCTGGCGAGCGGGGCGCGTGCGTCCCCGACAGGCTGCGCTGCGGGGTCATATGCATACATGTATGTTTTGCTCTTTTCTCCTAATCAAAGCTCTTTTCTCCTAATCAAAGCGTGTGAAAGGCCTTTCAGGTTGTCAGGAGCCCTGCCGGCCCTACTGCGCCCACCGTACGCGGCACTGCCGCCGGCGCCAGGCCACTCTACGCCGCTTGCGCGCGACGACCGCGCGCGCAGCGCTGCACAGATCACAGTGTTTCATGTTTTGACTCTCTCTTGACCAACGGTGCGCGCGATGCGAGCGCTGCCCGTCCGCTGGCGAGCATACGCATACGTACTGCAGCCAATGCAATGAACCTGTCCAGTGTGCGCACACGCCGCTCTTACCGAGGCAGCAGCCCCCAGTAGCCGCAGTGCCGCAAGGCACTGCCACTCCCACCGACATCCGACGTGGGCGATGACTATGCTGCATCGCGGGCTCGTCATGCCATGACTCATCCATCTGCATTGTGTAGACATTGCTCGCATACAAGGCGCCCTCCTAACAGCAGCGCGCGCTGCTGTACGCGCCCCTGTGGCAGTTGGCAATGCACTTGTCGGTTTGTTTGTGGGCCCCTCCTCTTGGTCCCAAACAAAAGCATATGATATGGCCTGCGGTCGTTCAAGCGAGCGTCCAAGTAACCGTTTCTGAAACCACAGGGGATCGTGTTTCATAACCATCAAAGTGCGTTCACCTGCCTAGCCATCTGACAGCCGCGCTGCGGGTGTGCCCCTGCGCAGCTATCAGTCCCTCTGCAACTTGAGGGCCATCGGCCCCCTTTTCCAGGCATTTTGCCCACGTTGAGTCATGAATATGTAATGCCAAGACTTAACGCGTGAGGGTTTCGTGGCTCAGCGGCTGCTGCTGGACTTGTTATGCCTCTCCTTGAAAGTACACTCGGCATATCAGCAGGGGCAACCTGAGTGCCAGAGCTGGGGCGCGCAGCTGCGTCGGTGGAGGCCATCAACGCGGTGCAGCGGTCACCGCGAAGCGGCCTTGACGACGGCGGATGGTTGTGCGTGCCCATGGGAGCCCCCAGGGTTGATTTGAGGGAGGGCAGGCGGCGCTGTGTCTGCAGCTGCTCCCATCATCAGGGGTGGGCTTGGGCGCGTTCGCATGTGCACCTTCAGAGGCGCCTGCGGCGGGGGTGGGGAGACCTGTCAGGTGTGGAGTCCTTGAAGCAGCTTTCTTGCAAAAGCGTGCCCGAGCCCGCTTTGCCGCACCCCAGCGGGCCAGGCGCGAATAGCACCGCACGCGGGTGCCTGAAAATCGCCTGACAGCTGGTGCCTGCAGCTCGCGGCTTCCGGCCGAAGTGACAGCCACCAGGCCTGCCACAGCTGCAGGGCGGCGGCGCTTGTGCGAGCGTCAGCAGCGTCGACAATCACTGTGGCGGCAGCCGCTGCCACATCGCCGTCCAGCAGTGCTGCCGACATGTGCAGAAAGTTTGCACACCGGGGCACGTGTGCAGCAGGCGGACGATATTACAGACTGGGCCAGTCTGCACATCCCCAGGCGACATGGGGTTGTTTTGTTACACGCTGGCGGTGCGCTGGCGGATGAACATCGCTGTGTGCCGGATGGGCGTTTTTCAGCAGACAGGTCTGCGCCTAGGATGCGAGGGCTGCGCCAGAGGGGATGAACCTTGGGTTCGGTTGGGCTTGAGACCTCATTTCAGTAAACTCGTTGTTTTTCGGTGCGCTAATGTGCGCGGCGGGCCGCCGCGACCAGGGCCACGCGGGCGGGTCCACCATCTCCCAGCGCAGGAGCGCCAGGTGCGCGGCGCGCTGTGCGCCGTGGGGACGCGGGTGGGCGGGCGAGCGCGGATGCCCAAATCGGTGAGAAATTGGCAACATGCACAAGAGCCCGGATGGGGCGCAACGACATTAGGGAAAGGCCTGTTCATCGGACGAGCGCGGCGGCGGCCGTTCGAGACGTAGCGTGCAGAGGGGCGCGTCAGCGGTGCGCCGCGAGCGCGTGGCGGGACGCCGGCGCGCGGCCGTCTCGGAGGCGCTGGAATGTCTCCTCCATCGCGGGGCTCAGGCGCAGGCCCAGGACCTGAGAAAATGGAATAGTGACACACATGGGTGTCGCTGGTCAGGCGGCTGTGTGTTCCACGGTGACGGTGGATTATCTGCGGGATTATGCTCGTTAAGCATGCGCAACCCCCGCAGCTCTGCGCGTGAATGCTTGAACGAGCGCCCCTGCAGGCGCCTGGATCCCACCAGCAGCCCACATCAGCCCCAGGGCTCCCGCCCCGCGCGGTCCCCCCACCCCTTGGCCCCCGCGCGCTACAACGGACCTCCGCCC